CCCCAAACCGAGATTTTGCTGGGAAAGCATCATACAAAGGCCACACACTTAGATAGAGATCTAGCTTTAAACCTGTCTGGCCGTATAATATAAAATATTTATAGTCTCTATTGAAAAGTTTCAATTTTCTCAGCTATTGAGGAACAGAGCAAAGCTCGAAGCCCCTAAACCCGGAGCCATATCAAAGCCGCAGAGCCCTTACAACCCCAGAATATGGGAGTTTTCCCAAAACAGTGGACCCTCATATAGTACCCTTAATAGTACGATCCGTATTATAAGGACCCAAATTGAGGTACCCCTAATTGTTTGGAAACTCCCATGTCACTGAACCCTAGACCCTAAACCCTAAACCCTAAACCACGTTTAAAAAATACTAAACCCCTAAACCCTAAACGCCTAAAGCCCTAAATTAGGGTTCAAGGGGCCGTCTGGCGCCTAGGCCTGCAAATGTTCACGCTGGGCGAGCTGAAGGCTCGGAGACAAAAACCCTACATGTGGGTGGTTGTCAAAATTCTTCTACTGTTTGCTTAAGAACCCCTCAAAAATAGAAAATATATTCCTTATGGGGGTAATATAGGGATTATTTTTTTTAATTTGTGGGTGGTTGTCAAAATTCTTATTGGCCGTAGACTCAAGTTTTCAACCTTTGGGGTTCTTATAAGCTAGTCGATTCTGAAAGTTTCAACGTTTATTTCCTTGGGTTTGGGGCCAGTGAGAATTAGGGATTAGGGTCCCACTTTGGGTTCCTATTATAGTACGGCTTCATCACATGGAGGTTTATATGGGACATCCCTTTCCTGATTCCTGCTAATGTGCTTTTGTGGTGCCTACCAAAGGGTCCTAGTACTGTTATGGGGGATACTCCCGCGAATCATTATCAATTCCTAATATAGAATCCCTACATTATACAATATAGCTACTTTGGACCCTTTGGGTACATGTGTGCCAGCATTCCTAGGGTTTTGGGGCATAGTTGAGGGTTCGAGGCGTAGGGTTTAGGGTCTGGGGTCTAGAGTTCAGGGACATGGGAGCTTCTGAAAATAGGGGTACCGTATTTTGGGGTCCTTCTAATAAGGTCCTGCTATGTAAGGTACTTTATGAGGGTCCCCGATTTTCGGAAACCCCTACATGTGTGCCAGGATTCACAGGTCCCACCCCCTCAACCACCCGGTGAACCCGCCCTCCCCGCCCTGTAGCCTTCAAACGGGGTGTTATTCTTCCTAAACCCTAAACCCTGAACCCTAAACCCTAAACCCTAAGGTTGGCACATCCCCCCATGGCTTCCCAGAGACTCTGAGACCTTAATGAAGGAATGTGCCTTCAATCATACTAGGGGTCCCAGTCTTATTGGCTGTAGACTCAACTTTTCAACGTTTGGGGTTCTTATAAGGTAGTCGGTTCTGAAAGTTTCAACTTTTATTTCCTTGAGTTTGGGCCAGTGAGTGTTGCAGTTGAAGGGATATTCCTCAAATTAAGGGATCTTGTACCCTCAAACCTGGATATACCCTGGAGCGCAAACTATCGCCCTGGCAGCAGACCCTAAACCCTAAACCGAGGAGCAGCATGGCAAAGCCGCCGAGGCCAAACGAAACTACCAAGGCGCGGGTGGCCTTTGTACATGTTTCAGGGTTTACGGTTTAGGGAGCCACATTCTAAATATGTGTTCTATTTTGTCAGGGGAGCCTATGGAAAACTGTTGATTGTTCACCCCGTCACCTCTCCCGCTGACAATAATTGTCAAAGGCGAGTTCTACTACTCCGGCTGCTGCTGCATCTGCTGCTGCTGCTGCTGCGACTACTACTACTACTACTACTACTACTACTACTACTGCTACTACTACTACTACTACTGCTACTACTCTGGCCGTTACTAGTTCTTGTGTGGCTTTGCATCGACTACTACTACCACGGCTACTACTACTACTACTACTACTACTACTACTACTACTACTACTACTACTACTACTACTACTACTACTACTACTACTACTACTACTAGCCACCCCCCCCACCCCCCTACCAACTACAACTGTCAACCTCATCGTCACTAACATCAGCACATGTCATCACCAACATCACCAAAAATCAAACACATCTCATCACCAACATCACGTCAACTCAAACACCTTTCATCACCAACATCACCAAACATCAAACACCTTTCATCACCAACATCACCAAAAATCAAACACATCTCATCACCAACATCACCAAAAATCAAACACATCTCATCACCAACATCACGTCAACTCAAACACCTTTCATCACCAACATCATCAACAATCAATCACCTTTCATCACCAACATCACAAAAAATCAAACACATTTCATCACCAACATCACCGAAAATCAAACACATCTCATCACCAACATCACAAAAAATCAAACACCTTTCATCACCAACATCACCGAAAATCAAACACATCTCATCACCAACATCACGTCAACTCAAACACCTTTCATCACCAACATCACCAAAAATCAAACACATCTCATCACCAACATCACCAAAAATCAAACACATTTCAGCACCAACATCAGCTGTAGCAGCAACTGTGAGGAACCCTTGGCCCTTGCATCGGCTGACGCGTGTTTTGAGGGAGCGGACCTGTCCAGAGTCACTGAAGCACTTTCGGCTCCAATCGTATCTGGCCATCACCAGATACCTTCACGAGCCCTAAAGAAAGCAGTGCACCGAGCACCTCGTCCAAGACTTCGGAAACTTCTGCAGTGACCTGTCGTTCAACCTGTTCACGGCTGAGCCAAACAAGTTCGTGGCCCGAGAGGTATTGCAACGCATCCAAGAGCATGTCGCAGAAGGACTGCTCCGGCAGTCGTCCTGCTGCATCGACAAGGTCTCGCTCAACAGCAGCTACGAGCGCCGGTGGTGGCAGAGCTTCAAACTGAAGTAAAGTCTGTCGTGGGGCCGTGGTCTGCTCAGAACTTCTCAAGTCCGACAGTCGAAAAGCTCGACCAAAGTGGCTAATGTTCCTCCTGGCAGCACCGGCCCTCGCCACAGCCTTTAACCAGATGTCAGCCGTGTCGTGCATATTGCATGCACGGAGCACATCCGCTTCCTGCCGTGCCAGCTTGCAGCAGGCTTCGAAAGCCCTGGCCTGAAGGCCATTCAGCGTCTTGGCAGAGCTCGTCAAACTAGCTGCAGCAATGACTGCCTTGTAAAACTTCTCTTCGGCTAGGAGAGAAGGAAATGTACATGGCAAATCACAGCTGGAAGTTGGCGGACACGAAGCGGAAGCAAGCCCAGTGTAACTGGCAAGCCCTCTGCGCCATGACTCTGTGCCAAAGTAGCAAGCACCGCGGGAGTCTCCAGAGCTGCAGAGGACGTATAGTAGCACGTTGTTCCACCTGCACTGCACCAGAGGACGTAGTAGCACGTTGCTCCACCTGCACTGCACCAGAGGACGTAGTAGCACGTTGCTCCACCTGCACTGCACCAGAGGACGTATTAGCACGTTGCTGCACCTTGACTGCACCAGAGGACGTAGTAGCACGCTGCTCCACTGCACGAGAAGACGTAGTAGTACGTTGCTCCTCTGCGGCACTTGATGCCACTGACAAAGGAGTCCAAGCCTGAAGCTCTAAGCCATCAGACCTGACCGGCAAGACACTGCGTGAGCGCGACCTACGTCTCCTACGGGGGGGGTTGACTCCATCCCTGGGAGCCAAACAAAACTGCGACAAAAGGTGGCTGCAGGCTTGAAGAAGTCTGAGCGGCAACACTAGTGGAAACTCAAACAAGTTCAACTCTGCGTGCAGCCGCGGCGGCACCCCCTTTGCGTTTTTTTGACAAGCTCTGACCGCTCACGAAGTTTGCGCAACACACGGCCCATGGCTTCCCAAGGGTCCTCGCTACCAAGCCAAGAGTGCCACTGGGATTCCCTGATGTGATCATCACATTTGTCAGGGTATCTGGCATTGACACCATGACATGAGCGCTTCAAGTGCTGCCAGTAGCCATCCATGGCCTGCGTTCCTGCACAAGTCTTCTTAGTGCGGCCATTGACTCACTTGTGGTCGCAGGCTTTCACGAAGAAGGGTCCGCCCTTCTTGTTCGAGTGGGAAACAGTATCGCGTCTGATCTCCTTGTCATCAACCTGGGTCGCATAGGCTTGGGCCCCGTCAACATGAAGAATGGTCTGAGATGCCACATGTTTCGTACAGTATGACTTCCATTCCTCACAGCTGAGCGGAAGCGGGCACGCAAAGCCGGTCTTCTTCCGCTTGCTCAAGGAACGTTCGAACGGCCTTTTCTCCAGCACGAGAGAACGTTTGACTCCTCGTTCTTTGGAGCCTACCCAACCCTGCCAGGCCACTTGGTCCGCCACAAACTGCTTCCTGACAACGCACTCGTCCGCTTCTACCTCCTTGTAGTCACCACCCTGGGTCTTGCATTGCATCTCCTGCACGTAGTCAGCAAGAGCGGATCGCCATTTGCTCTGCGCAGCGGCAATCCTTTTGTCGTTCATGCCCAACTCTGCCCGGATCTGCCGCAAAGGAGTCCTCCAGGCTATGTGCCAGAACAGAAGCACCTGCGTTCGCAAAGGCAGCACATCCTCGCCGCGCCCTGTGCTGAAGACCGGGCTCGCCGTGAGAACATGCTGTTGTCGATTGCACGGCCTGGTTGTGCACCTAAAGTATTTCGCTCCAGTGCCTGCCAAAATGACAGGCAATGGCGGGCACCCCTTGTTTGACAGAGGCTTGCCACAGTAAACACACGGACCTCCTTTGACCAGTCGTGGAACGTGTCCTAGCTGCTGTAAGTGAGTCAACAACTTCCTTGAAGAAAGCTTGCGAAAAGCCTCACCAGTCAGAGCCAGTTTCTCACGACCTCTGCGTGCTTCCGGGGGATCCTTCTGACTTGACGGAGTGTAGGCAGGGTAGTTCTTGGAGCTGCCACCTCCACGACAGCTTTTGGTTCCCTGCAAACAAAGAGTCCCTTTCTTCAAAGCACGAGGATGCGTCCACTTTTTCTTTGCCATGGCATTCACTGCAAACAAGCCCTTTAGCCCGAGGAAACACCATGCTTGCACATGTTGGAAGAAGCTGTGACTGCAACATCTTGGGAAGATGACATGTTGGAGAAGTGTTAAATGAATGTACACAGCAGTCGGTACTAGACCTAGGCCGGCGATCTGTGGGAAAACCTGCAGCAGAACTGAAGCGGTTCACACAAGACCGTAAACCCCGAACCTAAACCCTGCAAAGCCAGCTCTCCCGCAGAAGGGGTTCACCACCACCCCTAAGGTCCGGACCTGAGCGACAGGGAGTTGTTTTTGTTTTTGTGTGGTGGTTTGGGTTTTGGTTTGGTGTAAGTTTTAGGGGGTGTGTAAAGCGCGCAGAAACCCTGGGAGATACCCGAAAAAGCTTTCCCCCACCTAATTTCGAGTTTTTTGCAAACAGTTCGAAACGGCAAAGTTTAAGACGCATAGTCGAGAAGTAGGGGCTCAGAATATGTAGCAGAGTGTGGCATGACGAAAGTACCGTAAATACCGAGTAAAACGGCTCTTGTGGTGATACTGCTGGGTGTGTTCGCGTAACAGTGTCGTCATCATCCCCCCCCCTCCCCCCCCCCCCCCCCCCCCCAGCAAGTCCAAAATCAAGAGCCCGAGTTTGCAAACTCGACAAGTCGATTTTGAGGTCTATTATGATGATCGCACATGACGAAAGTGCTGTAAATACCGAGTAAAATGGATGTCGTCTTAACATGGGTAAGAGCAAGTGTAATTGGTAGGGGGGGTGCCTACTACTACTACTACTACTACTACTACTACTACTACTACTACTACTACTACTACTACTACTACTACTACTACTGCTACTGCTACTGCTACTGCTACTACTACTACTACTACTACTACTACTACTACTACTCTGGCTTTTACTAGTTCTTGTTTGCCTTTGCGTCGTTTCTGTTTCTGCACACAGAAGTTAAAGTGTCGTTGACAGCAGGTTTTCCAAGGGGGGCAGAGTTTCTCTGGTATGGCACAGGCACGCTGCGGCCGCAGGAAGGTATGCATTTCGCAGCTGTGTAGGCACCAGTTCTTCTGATTGTATGGCTAGGTTCCTGAGTAATACCCTTTTGCCATCTTTCTGTTAGGTGGCCTGTTGGATCTTGTGATTTGCTCAATGTCACGGCGCCTCACAAGCCCGTCCACAGGTGCGAACGAAATCTTGGCGCTGACGCACGGCGCCGGCTGGGGGCCAAGTTGGTTTGCTTATTCCGAAAGCTGGTTGAGGTGTTAGAATGAAGAAAGTTTGGGGGACTATCTGGGAACATACAGATTCGTTGCCCAGACCCTAAATCCTAAACTCAATGTTGCACTAAACCCCGAAGCCCCATGTTCTCAACTGGCGCAGTCAGGGCGTAAGTGTTGAAAGTGTCGAGTTCCTAAGCTTCCCGACCCTGTTTAGGGTTTAGGGTCTAGGGTTCTTTAAGCGGGGTTCGAGAAAGGGGTTCGATGGTTTAGGGTTTACGGTTTAGGGTTCTGTACAGGTTCTATGAGGGGTTCTGTAGGGTTTCTGCAAGCGGTTCGGGTAGGGTTCCATACGGCTTCTATAAGGGTTGAATGGCTTCGCTAGGTTCCCCAGTAGTACCACCTTTTATGTCAGGGTTCCCTTGTTTAAGCTGAATAACCAGAAAGATGGTACCATCAAGATGCCCAATGGAGGAAAAGCTTGCACACACGGTGGGCTTCTTGTTGGAGCCTTGAGTCATCAGCTGTTAACCAGGACCCTCCAAGCACCCATTACCTTGCCAAAGCCCTTATGGTTCTTGATACTGTAGAGAGTGTTCAGGTTACTGAGCCTCTTGCGAGTTCTGCTTGATGTTACTTCGATTGCATGAGGACGTTGAAGGACCATGCAGACGCTCAAGGAGCTGATGGCTATCAAAAGGCGACGCACTTTTTGCAAGTGATTAAGACCTATGAACTTGCTGACGAAGGCCATGCAACGTGCCGGAGACGCGTGTGCCATCAAGCACCAGCGGCATGTGCAACTGTAACTCTTAACCCAGAGAGCCCAATACCCCTTAATTAAGGAATATGGCTTAAATTTTATATAGGGCTGCATATTATGGTTTCAGGTATACTCCTTAAGTAAGTGGTATTGGGCTCTCTGGGCAGCTGCAACTCTAAGGATAAACTCTTCGTCCCAGTAAGAAAAACTGGGCGTCCTGGACTTCCTCATTACTTGGAGGATCAGGAGACTTAGTAAGTAGGGTTATAAGTAAGGTAGCTATAGTTATATCTACTTATAATCTTAATTAAGGTACTTATAACCCTACTTACTAAGTCCCATGATCCTCCAAGTAATTAGGCAGAAACTCTCGATCGGATCTTTCCTGAACCTTTGAAGAGCCATGCAGATCACTTTTCACATCCTGTATAGCGTACTCGCGCCCTGGGAAACTCGCAGAACCTGCGTAGCGCCAGACGAAGAGCCTTCTAGCCAGGTCGTTTAAGAAAGGTTAAACCTCTCCACTCCTTTAATTCGTAAGGACGTTAAGTTCTCATGCTTAATTAATTAATTCCTATGAGAACCCTTAGCTTTACAACAACTTCTTGCCCAGACCATCCGCTTCTTCAGCAACTACACGAGCGCCTTGCGGAGCTCGACGAAGGTCGCGTCGGAATTCTCTCGAAGTTTTTGCAAGGGCTCTACAGGCTTTTGCACAGATTGCTCATGGTTTCTAGGGTTTGGGGCTTGGGGTGTCGACGTCGGAGACGTTTCTGACGTCTGGTTGTAGGTCTTGGCATACAGGGTCGATTCCATGGCGTTAATAGCCGTTTCAGGATATGCGGTCTAGCTTCGCCTTTGCAGCGGTCATGGTTTAGGTGGTTGACCTAGATTCAGGTTTCATTTTGAGTTTCGAGGGGTGTTTGACATCTCAAAGCCAGAACCCAGATGTAAGCTTCCTGGGTCTTCGCCCGAAATGTTAGGATTTTTAGGGTTTATGGTGTTTTTGGGTTTTAGGGTTTAGGGTGTACACAGAGCCCTATTCAAGACCCAGGGTTGCGTAATCAGATTCCTATGTTACCATGATCAGCTATCTTGTTGTAACCATAAGAATCGTAAGAACCCTTGCAGGTCAAGAACCCTTTGCAGGAACCGTATTCTGTCTCCTCAGCCACCCGCCAAATTGCGCACACCCGACTGTGCCGAAGAGTGGCCCGGCAAGGACGTTAGAGAGTTCGAGCGGTTCGAAACTCAAGCCTAACATTGGAGCCTTGCTCATTTGAGGGTTCTTGAGGGTTTAGGCTTAGTATAGGTGCCTCAATAATCGGAAAGGGAATAAGAAACCTTAAGGAAATGATCAGTAGTTGTATGCATGGGACGATGGCGGAAGCACAGTATGCAACAACATGGGTATAGCACTGCCGGGAAGCAGAAGTCATGAAGTTGGAGGAGACCGGGAAAATTTTCGATTGGATCACGTGACGTGTGGCAAGCATGGGATTTTGGTCGAAGATGATGTGCGCCACACTTCAGCGGCTACCGCCGCCATGCTCACCGCGCTCGCTTCGCTCTCTCAGCTATCTAATCAGGTCCATGCTGAGTGTGAGCAGCCCATCATATTGTATTCAAATATCTAAAGGGTATGTTCAACCCACAGAGTATATGCTCTGGCCCTACAGGGTATGTGCAACCCACGGGTATATACTCTGGCCCGACAGTATCTTTTTAGGGATTACCTTCACGCAAAGTCTACACAGTACACTATATGAGTACTTCGACCTTCGACCCTTACAAAGCGAAACTGTGTGATGAGTATTCCGCCTAAGCCCTAAACCCTTAAACCCTAAACCCTAAGCCTTAAACCCTTTTAAACCCTAAACCCTAAACCCTAAAGCCTTAACTGTATTGGGGTTGCAGGCCGGCCTGTGGAGAAAAGAAGTTTACGATATAGACAGGAACCTTTACGGGATTTATAAGGGTTCCTTTAAGGGTTTAGGGTTTAGCTTAAGCTACCAGAATAGGGATCTACAGTAGAAGCCCAGAGGTTGGAAACCCAATAGCCCCTCAATCCTTACGAGTCATGAAATTCCAGCACTTTGTGTGCTTTATCCTGTTTCCAACTTTTTTGGGTTTACTGTAGTAGAGCGTAATTGCTAGTAAGCTTGCAGCCTTACCCTAAACCCTAATTCCTTAACCCTTATAGACTTATAGAAGCCCTGACATCAATTTTTCATATCGGACCCCTAAAGGAGCCTTTACAGGTTCTACAAAAGAATTCCTGACTCAAAAACGCTAGTAAACCCCCAAACGGTGGAAACCGGATTAAGGACAATTAGTGCTGGGATTCCCTATACATGACTCTTATGGATTGAGGCTATTGGGTTTCCAACTTTTGAGCTTCTACCGTATAGTTATGGCAAACCTGAGTTTCCACGCAGCCCTTACAAAAGCAATCGGGAGTCAGTCAGGTAGCGATAGTTATATCTCTTCATACCCATAATTAGGGTATTTGCAACCCGACTTACCAAATCCTATGAGCCTCCAAGTAAACCTTAGGCAAACTCTCATTGACTTTGTGAGGCCACCGCGGCTGAAACGCCAGTGCTGCAAAATGAGAGCCAGCTTGTTAACCTAGGGTGACACTTTTGTGTTTAGGTTTAGGGTTCGCTTGGGTTTAGGGTAGTGGTAACTACGGTGCAACATTTGGAGTCTTTTTTTCATCCACAGCTGCAGCCCTCGAAACTAGGACTCTGAAGACCCCGGGGACCTCACAGTTTAGTGTTTCTGGGGTTATAGATCGTCGCAACCCAATGCCTTGCATTGAGTTTGACGCTGGCTCGGTGCTTTGGGCTTAGGGTTGGGCTTTCGGTGCTTCGGGTTTGGATTTTGGGTGCTTAGGCATCCTTCTACTAGGTTCCTGAGTAGTACCCTTTTGCCTTTTTTGTTTTGGGGTCCTCTTCTTAAACAGAATAGTCGGAACAAGGATACCCTCATTATAAAGGGGCCGTCCTAACATTATGGG